CATAAGTAATAGGACCAAGATAAAATATGATAAAATATTCAATATAAAAAACAAAGAAAAGACAGGGAAAAAAATAAAACGATAGATAAAAAGATCTCCTCTAATTTTATAAAAAATTAAGTTACCTCTACTTCAATACAACTCGTTTACCTTAATATAATCATGACAAAATATATAAAATCACACATGAGTTATATAGTGTTCATTTACATGATTGAGATGGCATTATCGTTGTTGTTTCTTTTTTAGTAGTGATCGTTGATGTTGTTATTCCTTGTTCGCTCGGGATCGTTGATATTTGTGCAAGTTGTGGTGTTGCTTTTGTTGCTATTGATAATAGTTCTGCATAAACTGTCTTATTTTTGTTGCTTTCATTTCATTTCATTTGTATAATTCTAAAACGATAAATTTTAATGAACTTTGTAGTGGAAAACTTAAAAGTTGTATACTGACCTTTGAATAAATTTTCATATTTTATTAACTGTATTTAATCACCAATATGACCATCTTTTTTCATTGATTCTCTCATTACCATTGTTGGACGTATTAATGTAGATTTAATTTGATTAGGATTCATACCAATAATATCCTAGAATTGCAACACAGATCGGATAAGGGTATATATAAAAAAGAAGAAGACTTACTTCGATTTTTGTATAAGCTTCATTAGTAAATTCAGCTTGATTTTTTTGATTTGCTAATGTCTAGTTAATAGAAAAATAAATTTTATATAATATGGATATGTCTATTGAATTTTCCGTACAACAGGTGCATTTAATCGAAACTTATACTCGAAATTCTAAAATTGTTTATTAAACATCTAAAAATAAATCAAAGATTAGAAGAAAGCAATAAACACGTGATTATAGGCTAACGATACTGACGAGAATGATAATAGAAAAAAAAGAATGACGTTATGTCGATATAAACTTGTCTATCTCAACATATATTGCTATTGGATATCTTCAATATACATAAACAAGTCACGTTGCTTTTTTTTGTTTTTAATTACCGAATAGTGACGAATAATCTTATTGAATAAAACGATTTTTTCGAAAAATATCTAAGCACATGGAAAACAACTTCTATTTTTTCTATAGAATACAAGTGTTTATTTGAAGAGAAAAAATAAATACATGAGAATTAATATCCAATTGTATGTTCTCTTTTCGCTCCTAGAAACAATATGATCGTTTTTGTCGTCTGATAATATTGAACAAAAAAGAACAGATAAAATACATTTTCATATCTAATTATATTGTGCAAATTTATTTTCATTTTATTTTATTTTTTTATATTTCATATTTGAAAATGCATAACTGTTTTATTGAGTTATTTTCCAAAAAAATATATGAGTACTCTAGTGAGTACTCATACCACTATTTGCGAGTAAAGTTAAACAACCAACAACTAGATCAGTACGACTACGAGTACTCAATTAGTAAGAATACTCGTCAATCTTCACGAGTACTCATTGGAGTAATATGAGTACTCATGCTGGCAGGTCGTACTCGCTTGATGAGTAGTTTCACTAGGGTATAGAACAAAAGAAACGATTGATATACTATTTATACTGAGAACTATATGTTAATTTGATCACAATTATTCATCATAATGAACAATTTCAAACAATAATAAAATTATGACTTCAATTGATTTTGTTTAATGTAAATGTAATATTATTCTGTACAATTCTAAATCTATTGTTTATGTATTTGTTTCTCATAGATTTGATGTGTTTCGATGAAGATACATTCTTGACGATGAACAATCGCACTTCTCTTATCATATGTCTAATCTATGAAAATAAAAACAAAAGCAATTGCGCAATATATTTTTGATAACAGACAATATCGACGCAATACAAAACAATAAAAATATTTTGTCGTCCAAAAACTTTTATTTTGTTGTTGAGGAAGCGTTGTATTTCCTTCGTTAAGGCATGATTTGCGATGTATTTTTAACAAGAATAACATTATGTTTTGTTTGAAACACTTTGTTTTCATGTCCTTCCTATAAAATTTCAATATCATGAACATTTTTTGTATTTACAACAAATAATCCCTGACATTTCATATTAGTTTTGAAAAAGGAAATGGATTCATTGTTTTTCTTTATTCGTAAATTAAAATGTTGTATCTGCTGCAAATATTTCAAAAAGAAGCAAATTCTCATTGACATCATTAGATAGGCGAATAGAGAGAAAAAATAAATCTTTTTTTTTCTTGTTCAGTTTTTAGTAAAATGTAGAAGAGTTTTTCTATTATTTAACTCAATTTTTATAGTTAATGGTTGGAGAATGTAACTAAAAAGAAACAACTTGTTTTTATTCCATTCAGAAGAAGACAAATATGAATAAAACTAATGAAAAGATGCAGAAGAATTTGTTTTATTAGATACAGATTAATAGAAAAATGAATAAATTTTAAGAAAGATCAATTATGAAACACAATAAGGTGACGGGTTGTGCTGTAATTTATTAGGAAAAACAACTTGAAATAACTTCGGATTATTTAAGTCAGACTCAGTTAACATGAACATAGGAGAAAATTAATAACTCCATCCAGATCATTCTATACGTGTATCATAAATTGTAAGAAGTAATGAATAGATTTTTTTATTCATTTACTATCAAAACTTTTTGACTTTGTCAGGTTATGAAAAATGAAGTAACAACTGAATATTTGTCGAGATTTAGACTGAGAGTGTGGATGAAGTTGAATGATCTGTTTTTATTCATACCTACATCCGATTCAAAAATCTCTAGAACTTCTCACGCGTAGATGGTGATAACGAATGAGCCGCTGTACTTCTATCTCTATTTTCCACCATAAAAAGTTGATATAAATGATCGATAAATTAGAGATGAAAATAATCTATAAATCGACATTAGAAATCTTTTTTTATACGACTGTCATCTTTGCGATAAATTTTGCGTATGTGATAAAATCACGTCTTTTCTCGATTATTTTTAAAATGCGTTTTTATTCTCCATCTGTTCAATATTTTGATTCATCTTTTCTACGTAGTTCTATTCCCTTTTTTGTTCAGCTTCTGTTGATACTTTTTTTCTCTTTAGAATCCATATTTATTTTCCTTTATTTTTCTTTATTCTTTACAAAGCAAAACTTTACTTTCAGATATCTTTTTTACTGCTGTAAGTTACTACATTTTATTTTCTCTAGACTATCATAATTTTTAGTTCATAGGATCCAATGCGAAAATATAGTTAGCAGTGAGTTGATTCTAAGAACGGCTAGGTCAGACTCTTGATTCGAGAACTGAAAAAACTTTTAACTTTGATACGGACGTATTCAGAAATTTGTCGCATACGTTCCAAAAAAAACTGATTGTCATTACTCCAAACGAGCCATTAACACAGGAGATAAGTAAAATAAGTAGTTATTCATCATTAAAGTAATAAAGTATACCATTATTTTAACTACTGTTAGTTAACTGGAGCCACAGTCTATAATGATACGGTATAGAGATATGAAGTTATTATGATATTAAAAATGACTCTTTCAGACATTTCCGAAAATAACTACATATGACTTGTATGTAACTATCTGTTATAGCACAGAATGTTGTGTTCTTTCTCTTAGCATATGATATATTATATACATGGACGTACCACGCTCGAGCCCTGATTGAGCCGCTCGGGCTCGGGTGTGGGTGTGATGAGTGGAGGTACCATCCTTTTCACTCTCACTCACGTTTTCAGCCACACCCACCCAGACACACGAGCCCTGATCGAAACCCGAGCCATATCCAAGCCCGAGCCCTGACGGAGACGGAGACCGAGAGACTCGGGCGTGGTACATCCCTATAATTAGATAACATGCACATTTGGCAAGATCGTAAAAAGAAAGTTATTTTAAAAATAAAAATAACTTCTCACGCCTAGCTAGAATAGGTTTAACCTGCAGTCTCTGATTCGAATCCAATAAACAAACATGTTAACCGGCATCCAGTGGAGTCCGAGAGAAATCTTTTTATCCTGGTTTACTATTCTGTAGAATATCGACTCTACGTTTAATTCTTTTAGTACCTTCAAGTCTTTTAATCTCCTTGGTCCCTTACGTAACATTGGTTCCTTTTAGGTCTTTTAACTTCGTTTAGTCCTTTTTGTCTCTTTAGGCTCTCTAGTCTGATCAAGAATAAAGCTAGTGAAGAGCTGCGGGTCGGCTCAGAACCCGACCGGGTCTGAGTCTAGTCGTATCTGGGTTGGGTACAGGTCCAACAAAATTGTTTTTCTTCGGGTTCGGGTCCAAAAAGCGTGGACCTGCATCTCTACCTTGCACACAGAGGGTGCTATATATTAGTAAAAAAATTGTGGGTCAGAGCCTAATCGAGTCTGGATCGGGTCTAAGTCTGAACCTGGTCGGGTCTGAGTCTGAACCTGGTCGGATCTGAGTTGGGTACGGATCTAATAAATTGTTTTTTTCTCGGGTTTGGGTCCAAAAAAACGTGCACTCGCAGCGTTCTAATAGCTAGTACACCCAAATTTCCCACACCCACCCTCAAGATTTTTACAACAATATTTTCTCCTGAATAGTACATTCTAGGTGTTTCTCTCAAAACAGACATAATGTAGTATGTATTTTAATTCTGTCATAACTGGAGATATATGTGACCAAAGAAAACAAAGATTACGAGGCAATGGTTTTCATAACGGATATGAAAAAATACTGATGTTTGGTATTTTATGTATAGAATTCAAGGTTCTTCAAAATACCATGATTAAGTCCAAAATATAAAGATCTGCGGGAGAGAAAACTGATCACACCGAATATGCCGCTGTTTTCTCCTCTATAGATCATTATATTCTGAACTTATTCATGATATTTTGGAGATCCGTAAATTCTACTTACAAAACATCATCCATCGATATTATTTCACATTGATCATAGAATCTATTATTGCACAATCCTTATTTTCTGTCATCACGCATGTCTTTAATCAAAACATTTTCAGATAAATAATCTTATCAAAGTATAATGCCAATCAGTACCTATCTACGCCCTCGTATAGCAGCTGTTGAAACTGGCGTCGTTGAATTAAATCTGTTTCGAACTGGTATTCAAGATGACGCTATTGTACGAAATGAACGTCGATCAACTAGACTATTTTTAGCTCTTCTCAGTATTTCAATAGTCATTCTCGGACTGTATTACTCAGTTATAGGGTATAGAAAAACTATTATAATTCCATCCCCGTCAATCAGCAAATATTCTAATTTATCAAAAGAAGTATCATTACAATGTCCTTGTAAGAATGCATCAGTAAAATATGAAGAATTTGTTCATATGAAACCTTTTTATCATGAATTATGTAAAAGTGATTTTGTTTCTGATCGATATATTCGTCGACTCTATAGTCTCTATGAACAAACTGTGGATAGTTCAATTCCAACAGACGTTCATCGAATAGCAGTATTTCAGTTTCAAACACTTCGTACACTTTGTCAATTAGCACAAAAAACAACTGATGATAGTCTTAAAACATTTTTACAAAATGGATTTGTTCAAACACACACCGTTGCTGAAGAATTATTTGAAAATCAAATTGCATCATTGATAACAGATTTTATTAGTAGCACATCAAAAACATTTATGAGAACACTGAAGTTTATTCAAGATGTTACAGCACAAAGTTTATTTATGACTGGTGCTTCAGTAACTAGTGTTAAACCCAGAACGCAGTCTCGAATGGGTTTTTTCGAAAATCTACCATATCCTGGAATCAAGTATACATTTAAAGATGGATCTTCTTGTACATGTTCAAGTTCTACTGCTAATACCTGCATGGGTTTGGCAACATTGAATAATAATGCTATTCCTGGTTTTCAAACAGGTTGTTATATGCTAAGCGCACTTCTTCATTCTACACTTGAAATGTGCTACAATCAAGTATTTATCGATATCTTAACTGACGCTTCGAATAAATATCAAAAACTCGATGGTTCAGATTCATATTCCACAGTTGAAGTATTACTTAGTCAAATGTTCATTACTCATTGGTCACATAACGCATCTTTTGAAAGCTATTTTAATCATTGTGCACCGACTCTATGTCAATATACAGTAACTTCGACACACGATTTCTGGTTTATTATCATAACATTGATAGGGTTCTTTGGTGGATTATCATTCGTGTTGAGAATCGTTGCACCTTTGTTGATTACAAAACTTTGGCCATTTATTTGGAAGTTAATTACTAGACGACGAAGGCCAGCTGCACAAATCGTAGAAATAGACGTGAATACAGGTATCTATCTATAATTATACTGTCGATCTCAGATAGACATGGTTCTTCATGAAAAACGTATGGACACACAATATTAAAGCTGTCTCCTCTCTTTTCTGAGCTGAGTCATTTTTCTTCGGTTTTCATGTTTAAAGATTTATGCTGGTGTACTCTATTTACGTCGTCAAAATTCTAACTAGGCTACATTTGAAAAGCATGTATCTTAGGAGAAACAGTTTACTTCAAAGGACTTCAACTGTTCAGACTTCAGAAAATAGTTTCAACTAGACAAAATGAAATGTGCAGTGTTGCGTGAGAAAACTTTTGGGTGTTTTAATCCCGAAAACTCTTGGAAGAAGACATCTGAAAATGTTGAGTATATGCCCATTTTTGCTTTACTCATCGAGATCTATCTGTTTTATTACATGCGATTGCATATGAAACAAGCTCAGATACTATTAGTATAAAATCGCGTTTTGAGCAAAATGTTTCATCTAAGTTCCATTCGCTTGAGTCAAACACGAAAAAATATTTATATAAGTAATTATAAACAGTATTATTCTTTAATCGTATTTTTTTCAGTCCTCTCCGTGAGTCAACGTCTAAAACGAATGTTGGAATTAATCAAGCAAAAATTGATTAATTTGAATTTATTTCAATGTGTTCCTCCAATACAAGATGAAAATATTCTCCGACAACAACGTTATGCTACACGACTTTCTATAGTTCTATCAATTATATCGTTAATTATTTTTACTATTTTCACATCTACTGATCCACAAACAAATCGTATTACTTCTAAATCTCCAACACCAGAAGAGTTTATTCAACTTCATAAGCAATATCCACAAACACTTGATTGTCCTTGTACTCAAACAACAATTGACTATCAATTCATTTTTAGTATCAAACCACAATATCATGAAATATGTTCAAGTGAATTTGTCTCTTCTCAATGGATCAATATTGAATTTAGTAAATCTTCGATGACAAATTTATTAACAAATGATTTTCGTTATCAATCTCAATTTCATTTTCAACTTTTATCAACATTATGTCAAATGGCTAATGAAACAATTCAAGATTCTCTTCAATCATTCTATCGAACTAAATTTGTCACAAATAAACTATTAATTAATGAATCATTTCAAACACAAATCGATTCAATCGTGGAAGATTTTAAAAAAAGTTTACCTGCATCATTTCAACGTATAATTCAATTGATAAAAACAAACTCCAAGATTAATCAATTCATTACACCAATGAATTCTATATTTAGTCCTGACGAATATCTTGCATTATTGCCTCTTACGCATAAACCATCAGAAGAATTATTAGACGAAACACATTTGTGCTTTTCATCTTCTGGTTTGCAATGTTACCAAAAGACCATGATAAGAGAAAACGAAATTAACAACATTATTCCCGGAATGATTCAATCGTGGTTTCCTTTCGAAGCACTCATGATGTCAACATTAGAATGTTTATATAATGAAACATGTCTTTCTTACATAAAAACATTCATTAACTCAACTCAATCATCAATTAACATTACTACACTAAAATTATCATCATCATTGAAGAATAGTCAATATGATCGAATTGAAATATTAACTAATAATCTTTTTATTCGATCATGGGATAATGATAATTCCTATGGGTCATACTTTAATCAATGTCATGTATTAACATGCCAATACAGTTACAAAAGTCGATTGAGTTATATTTATGTTGTAACAAGAATTACTGGATTTATGGGTGGTATCAATGTTATTCTACATATATTATTGCCATTGATTGTTAAATTATTGATTAAAACTTGGAATTATATTCTTCAGCGTCAACGAAATAACTCCCACACAGTAAGAGTATCAATATCTAAACGAACCCGTACGAAAACTTGAGACAAAAATCTGATAGTAACTAATTAATATTATTCATTTTAGGATTTTGGACTTATCTTCAAGCTCTTTGGATATCTAATAAAAAAAAGATTGAAGAATTAAATCTCTATCCAATTATTCCACCATCAACAGATTTACAAATGATTCGTCGACGTCGACACATAACTCGAATCTATTTGATATTATTAATGACAAGCTTGTTCATTCTTATTAGTTATACATTATTGAAACAAGAGACAGTGGCAGACTCAGTTTCATATCCATCATTATCAAAATACGAAGAATTATTTGTTCAATATCCTGTAACATTACAATGTCCATGTAATCGTATTACAATCAAATTCAAGGAGTTTATATCTCGAATTGAACCTCAATACCATGAGATCTGTTCGAGTATTTTCGTCTCACAAGAATGGTTCAGTAGCGTGCCTGACGGATTTCTATATAACATCAAAATGAGCAAAACTGATTTTCGTAAAATAATTCAGATGCAATTCGAAACTTTGTCAACACTTTGCAAAATCGCTCAAAATACATTAAATATATCGTTGTCAATATTGAAAGAAACTGATTTAATTACAGCATATGTTATTTCTCGTGTTGAATTTGATAGTCGAACAAAATTAGTCATAGAACAGTTCAAACAAACAACATCGAATCAGTTCATAGAAACATTCAAATTAATTCAAGCAATAAATCATGCAAATCAGCTTGGCATATTGCTTTCCTCTAACTGGATCTTCTTTCGAAAATATCCACATAATAATCTCGATCTAATTAAAGATGAGCTGATTGATGTACTAACTCGACCACAAAAATATGGAACACATACTTGTTCATGTGGAATACAATCGAACTGTTCAAACCTAGCAGAATTCCCATTTCCGACACCAAGCAAAGCATTCATACAACCTCTTCCAGGATTTCTTTATGGTTGTATGATGCTCGATTCTTTATTGCAGTCAACTTTGACTTGTCTCTATAATAAGACATGTCTTAGTTTTATACAATCATCTATTTACTATTCTAAACCTTTACCAGTTAAAGTTCTTACGCATTCTTCATTAACAATGCCCAATACAACGATTGAAACACTTCTTAATCAAATGTTTATATCTCAATGGTTTCAGAATACATCATTTGATCTTTATTTTAATCAATGTGCACCTCAATCATGTGAATATTCTCATGTATTAGAATATAATTCACTCTATATTATAACAACATTAATTGCTCTATTTGGAGGTTTAACAAGAGGACTACATGTTCTTGTGAAATTGCTAGCAATTATCGTATACAAATTCGTTGATTGGCGAAAGAAGAAAAGACAAGTAGTATCAGATTTAACATCATCGAATATCTTTATAAACATTGACAATAATGAAGAGGTGAGCGAAGTACTTTCGATTTCGACAACAACCGTGACGACAGTTCAGGTAATTCGTTTGGCCTTCGTAATTTCATCATAATAATACTTTTCAATTTTTCTAGGACACTATAACGTCTGACGAAGAACAGAACCATCCGTAAGTAGTAGAATGAATCAAGTTTCTCACATCTACCTTTTGTTTTATCATTATTCTAGCAACAAAACGTATCGAGACCGACTAATACTAATTTGTTTAACTCTGTTAGCTATAGCAGCAATAATATCAGTGTCCATTAATTTGTTTATTGCTCGAAATAAAGAGCAACAAGTTATTTCAACAACCATTCAAACAACTACAGAAAGTAGTAATAATTTAATAACAGAATCAACAATGATATCAACAAGTAAATTTAATGTGCGAGAAACAATGAGTTGACTGTTATATTTTGTAGATATTTGTCATATGAATTTTAAGTATCAATCTCAAACTTATCCTACTGATCTTAATCCTGTATCAATGGTGATCGGTGATTTTAATCATGATGATATTGTAGATTTAGCTGTGACTAATGCTGATTCAGATACAATAAGTGTGCTATTGGGAAATAATAATGAAACATTTCAAACACGACAACTATATTCAACAGGAAATGGATCTAGACCAACAGAAATAGCAATTGGTGATTTTGATAATGATACATTCTTAGATTTAGGTAAGAATTTGTCATGTGACGAAAATCTTTATCATCTTATGTCATATAACTATGTCGAATAATAGATTGATACTTCAAAGTTGTTCTTTCTTTTCTAGTTATTGTTTTATCTGCAACAGAAAAAATAGTTATTTTCTATGGTACTGGAGCAGTCATCCTATTCCGCAATGTTGAACATTTCAGGAACCAGTTCCGCTCCGGAATCGATTCCGTTCAATTCCGGGAACTCGATCGACACATAATATCCGATACCCACTCGAAAATTGATCGAGTTCCGTCCAATTCCGGAATTGGTAGGAATTCCGTATAATTCCGGAATTGGTAGGAATTCCGGAATCGGTAGGAATTCCGTGTAATTCCGTAATTAGAAGTAGTTCACGCAATTCCGGAATTGGTGGGAATCGGTAGGAATTCCTAGGAATTCCGTGTAATTCCGTAATTAGAAGTAGTCCACGCAATTCCGGAATCGATGGGAATCGGTAGGAATTCCCAGAAATTCCGTCCAATTCCACTCAATTCCGTCTTGATGCAATTCCCGGAATTCCGCAACGGAATTGGATCGTATTCAAACGGGATAACTTATCAGCACAACACAACAAATGTGGGTGAGGTGGATGGTGTGATAACTTATCAGCACAACACAATAAATGTGGGTGAGGTGGATGGTGTGATTCCGGTGCGGAATTCCGGAATCAGAACCAATTCCCGCAATTCCGGAATCGGTGGGAATTGGCGGGAATTGGTAGGAATTCCGTGTAATTCCGTAATTAGAAGTAGTTCACGCAATTCCGGAATTGGTGGGAATCGGTAGGAATTCCCAGGAATTCCGTCCAATTCCACTCAATTCCGTCTTAATGCAATTCCCGGAATTCCGTAACGGAATTAGATCGTATCCAAACGGGATAACTTATCAACACAACACAACAGATGTGGGTGAGGTGGATGGTGTGATTCCGGTACGGAATTCCGGAATCGGAACCAATTCCCGCAATTCCGGAATCGGTAGGAATTCCGTGCAATTCCGGAATCGGTCGAACTCGATCAATCTCGACTGGGTGTCTTATGTTGTGTGTCGATCGAGTTCCCGGAATTGGACGGAATCGATTCCGGTGCGGAACTGCTTCCTCCAATGTTCAACATCGCGGAATAGGATGCATTCTCTGGTACTGAATCAAACAATCTATTTATTCCATCAACTGACAATATTATCAGCAGTGCAGGTTCCAATAGAATAAATGCGATTGCAGTTGTTGATATCAATAGTGATGGTTTTATCGATTTAGTTATTAGTCTTGATGAATATTCTGAATTTCAATTTAGTATCTTTTTAAATATGGGCAACAGATATAACTTTAAATATAAACTATGCTCGTGTGATGTCTACCCGGGTAAAATCATTTTAATAGTCGCCTATAATTTGGATAATGATGCAAGACTAAATGATATGGCCTGGCTCACCAGTCGTGGTCTCGTGTTAACTCGCAGGACATATGAGTTCCCAAATTATCTCAAAGACGAAGTTTTAACAAATGATGAAATATATAAAAATCCATCTGCTGCAGTCACAGGAAGATTCAATGACGATGAATTCGCCGATTTGGCGTTGATTTCTTTTCAATCGGACACATTACAAGTTTTACTTCGCTATAAAGATAAAGTGCTGTTGGACTGGAAGACCATTCCAATGATTTATCTCACAGATCACTATCCGACATCTATTGCTCGAATTAATTTTAATAATGATCGAATCGATGATTTAGCTATATTACATTGCAATGGAACTGTAACAATATTTATTGGCTCAAAACATGGACTTTTTGAACGGAAAGATTTATCTTTTGGAACTCATATTGGTTGCATTGATAAATGTTGTCAGTCATTGCAAGTAATTGATTTGGATCGAGATGGAAGAGATGATCTAGTGTTTATTGATACAGGAATGAATAGTATTCAAGTTGCTTTGGGTTTACCTTGCAATGAATAAACATCCTTATTACTTTGCTTTTGATGTTTTAATAATTTCAATAAATATTTGTTGTTTCTGATGTGGTGTTCGTTTAACGACTTAAAAAGTTTGAAAATATTTGTGGAAGAGATACTGAGATGTCAGAAACGTAAATCAGATGATTTATTTATCGATCTGTAATGTTGATAAGATAAACAATACATATAAATATGAGAAAAGGTAGTAGATGTTGATTAGAAACTTTGAAAAACCATCTTGAGGGTGTGGGTGGGTGTGGGTATGGGTGTGGAGACTTATTCTTGCTGACACTAACCCACACCCACACCCAAACCTTAAAATCAATATGCAAACCCAGAGAACCCAAACTATTTGGTTTTAGTGCATGTTTACCCTAATTCTCCACATGTGTTTTTCCAACCCATTTTCACGGCGTAAGCAAACAAGTTTTTGTTACTGCGCGCTTTTTTCTCATCACAACAACGTCAGTAGAAGCTATGCGCAACGACAGATCTGTTCTCACAATGATATCAAAAAATGATAAAAATTCTTCTTTCGCCAAGATAATAAAACAAAACTCACCTGTAAACAGGAGCAACTAATATTAACGACGTATAACTGCAACAAACTCAACTCTACGTCAACAGCATATATCAGGTAGAATATACTTTAAGACGTAAAAAACACGAGTTTTGCTTGAAAATATCCTGTTTTTTTTCTGAAGTTAAAAAGTAAAAATTTAATTTGTCATTCTATATAAAGTTCATGCACATAAATTTAGTTGAAAATAATAGAGAATTAGAGATGTAATGAGAAAAAAATTGAACCGTTGAAATCCTTTGGTCGCTGTTTTTGTAAAGGAATGAAAAAAAATTCATAACTTTTGAAAGTAAGTGCATCAACACAACTTCGCTTAATCTTTTTCGTACAATCATATTCCTACCATTTTGAGGGTGGGTGTGAGTACAGGGGCGGGTGACGGTGTGGACGTGAGTATGAATATTCATCCTTGGCACTCACACCCACACCCTCAAGATAGTATCTTATCAATTGAAGAGCAACCTCTTTTTTTAATGTTTGGAAAATTCCAGTCAATTTTTTGATAGAATCACATCACATGTTATCGAAAAGAAATTCTTGTCGATGAACATGTATCTCTACTTAATGAATGATATTATATTTTCCGAAAAGGATCAATATATTTATTTTTTTCTTGTAGAATCCATATTAATTTCGATTTCAACAATGGTTACAAAACGTTCTGATGATGATGATTCACAACATCCTAAAGAAACTGAAGCACCATATTTTCTTCATCCACCTGTATCAAAAGTGAGTATCTTTTTCTTATTTCACTGTGAAATTAAACCATTAATTGTAATCTGTTAAGGATGTTCCAAAAATATCGACAGCTGCTACACCAAAAGAAATTGAAGCACCAAATTCTCTTCATAAACCTGTAACAAAAGTGAGTGTCTTCTTTTTATTTCATTGGGAAATCAAACCACTAATTGTATTCTTTTAAGGTTGCTCCAAAAATATCGAAAGCTGCTGCAGCCAATCCCCCGTCAGTTATCACACCAGTGAGCAGGTAGAGTAATTGCTTTTAAATCTATCGGAGATATATTTTGCGAATTGATTTAATCTAGAGTTTAATCACATTGAAACTCATCTGTTTATTTTGATCCAAAAATAGGATTGTAACATCGATAACTGCATATAGACCTGATTGTGATTAAAACTACTGAGTTTTTAATACAGTCCTCGTTATTTAAGGGTGTGGGTGTGGGTATAATAGGATATAACTATCCACACCCACACCCATCCACATCCTCAAGATTCTACATTATAAGGCTTCTAAATTAGATTTTTAGTCGATCTTTCTGGAAGCAACCGACGGTATCAGTTATGTAAAATAAACTTTCATCTAGCATGTATTTATTAGAACTACAGAAGTTTAAATTTAATCATTTAGCAGTTATCTGTATTCTAATTGACACTCGAAGTGAATTCTCATTTTAGACAGATGTAACATATGGTTGGAGGTATCTTCATTTTCTTTTGTAATCGTGACAATCGTAGTTGTCTTTCGTTGCCTATCAAAAGTTATTCAAAAAATACTTCGCCACTTTTTTATGCAAAATCGTTATAGTTAGTAATAAACTTCTCTTTGCCGAAGTTTTATTTCTATAATATTAGTTAAAAAATGACTAAATACGACAGTACTAGTTTTAGTATGTCCTAAGTGAATAAGTTTTAATAAAACGATTTTACTGAAAATATTGATAAGATAAATAATTTTCTTCTTTCGTTTTTAGTATGTCAATACCGAACAACAAACCACAGAAAAAAAGTACGTACACCAAAATTCTTCGAGTTATTATTACGTGGAAAGAAACTCGACCCAACCAAAATAATATTACAGCAAACAAATGTTAATGAGTTCTTTAAGAAATTTGATCTGGGATAAGAAAAAGTAGATCTTGGTATTCTATATGTATCTTTGTTATATTCAAGAATTATTACGGCTAAAAAGAAATTTGATCCTCATTATCTCAAACTTTGAAATTATTTTGAATACCAATCATTTTCATTTAGAACAGCAAGTAGTTGATATACCTGACACTTACGAGGGACTTCGTTAAATTCGTTCAGCTGCCTTGTGTTCATTGATTATTACAGCGTTTTGAAGTATTTACTTGAAACAAAGAAAAACCAACGAATCAAATTTTTGTTATAAGCATTCATATATCTGTAGTTTTTCAATCGTCGATCATAACGAACACGCCTATTTACAGGAAAATATATAACTGAATAGGATGTTGAAGGTCGTTCAATCCAGTCATTCCTTATGAGAACTACTATGTATGTAAGTACGTCTTAATTTATTCTAGGAAACCAAAGATAAATGAACACTATCATCCTAATGATTATACAACTATCATAAAATTTTCATGGTAATATCAACTGAAACGACTTTCTTCTGAATGAGAAAATTTTTAAAATAGAATATTTGTGACAAATGTAGTAAATGCCGTTATAACTGATCGTATTCTATGTAATCTCAAATCAACAAATCTACTGCAAGTATTCACTCTGAAATATGACAAAATAATGAAACAGAATAGTGACTGGTAAACTAATATTCATTTGCCAGATAATCACTAGCGAATGCATCATAGCAAATGTATTATTTTTGAACTATACATCGAATTAACACAGATCTGCTATTCAGATCATTCACGTCTTATGTAACCATCAATGAACTGTCGAATGAAATCATTTACAATAATGTAAATAAAATATATTCACAGAATCTACTGATAATGATTATTCATTTGATCATAGACCCTTGATAAGTGTATCTTTCATGTATGTATTATTCCGATGTGCACAAAATAGATGAACAAAATTTTTCGGCCAGCTGGAAATGGATGATGATGATTTGTCTATGACATGATTCTCAAACGCTCTTGTCAATCGAAACTTTTATATTATCGCAAACCAAATAGGTGAATATAATATCCAGAATACGTATTATTTTGTTTTCATGTGATCTTTAATGAACGTAATGGTTGATAATCTCAAGTAACAAGTTAACGGAACATGTAAACACGACTGTCACGAGAATAACGATCAACTATTTACTTCGTTATCTTTCAAACGTGTATATTTTTTGAGCTTTTGTTTCGATGTATACCTTATTACTGAACAAATGCATTGGAATGAAGATGACAGAAAGCGTTACGTAGATGGTACATTTTACAAGTATTTCAAGAGTCGTGATGGTAACACATGTGTTCTTCGTTTTCATGCTGGTGGTCATTTTGCTCATCATTTTCATCATGTTTTTGATTTTTATGGTGGTATATGCTTATGTGATGATAACATTCAGACTGATTTATAGTTATATTGCATTGAAACGTGTCTAGGCTTTCCTAAATTTTAAACTATATTCGTAAGCAGCTATGCAACTGCGGGGATAGATCCCACATCCACCCTCAAGATGGTTTTAATTTAGTTTGACAAAATTTCGATTTTTATTTTTGAAAGTAAATAAATATTCATTAATTTTATTCTAAATTAATAAGAAAATTTCTATTGCAGAAGTTTTATTAGATTTATTTTTATGATTTTACAGTTTATTGAGAGAAAGGGAAGAAAGAATGAAAATGTGTTAAAATCGAAAAATTAAGTTAAGAAAATCTTTTTTTTAAAGAAAAAATTATTTTGATATTTAAATATTAAAACAAAAATAAGCAAAGAAAAAGCTGTCAAACATCTTTTCATGATGAATGCATCGTGATCTACAGTGCGGAAAGCGATCTTAATTTCTTTATACATTTCAACACTTATTAGCGATGTTATCTTATACACAAACAATAAATGACATGAAAAAGAGTGTCACTCATATATACATTAGACAAGAAAATCATGTAAAAGAAAACAGAATACGCTTCGCTATTTGTTTTTCTTGTTATTTAGTTGAACAGGCTACGAAGAGAATTATTATTCTATCAACACTTTTTATAGTTCGCTGAATACTTTATAAAAAAAAGAGAATGTAATTTCTCTAAACGATGTAAAATCATTTTCCTTTTTTTTCTGTAATATGCTATTGGAATTATCATTTTCAAACTTTTACAAAGCAACATTATCAATATGACATCCTCCACCGATGCTGATTTGAGTGCTTACTATGCTGGACTCACTTTTAATAAAAGTGTCATCGGTGGTTTTATCTTCTTGGGTTTAGGTATTATAAATAATGCCTTGAGTTGTAGAGTGTTTGGCGAAAAACCAATGCGACAAAATCCAGGCTCTATTTATTTTATCGCATATAGTATCGTCAATTTCCTTTCGTTAATATTCACTCTACTCCCAACTACTCTCAATAATTTTCCAATTGATCCCTCATTGCACAATTTACCTTACTGTAAGATATATTATTATCTGCAAATCATATTTGTCGTGATGGGCGATTTCTATCTTATACTGATTTCAATCGATCGTGCTCTTATTACATCGTCAAAAGCAACGATACGACAACGAAGCAACCATCATACAGCCTATTGGTCTATTAGTGGAGTAACACTTATTATTTTACTCTTCCATATTCACATATTTGTACGTGTTGGCATTTATGATTTATATCCAGGCGCTCCTTTCTGTTATCTTCAGCCAGGTGATTATAGAATCTTTGACGCCCTTGACTATTATACTTCTTGCTGAAACAGTTAACTATATGATTTGGGTTACTCCGATATGTATTCTTAGCATGTACCGACAAATAACACAATATGAAGTGAAGAGCGCTCGGCAAGAAACAATCGAAGAATTCCTACTAGCTATATTTTACTATCTCACATTTATACGTCGCACAACCAATTTCTTTATATATTTGGCTGTATCAAAAACTTTCCGAAAAAAAAGCATTCCAAATATTGTTTAAGCAAGGTCAACATCGAACTGTTGGCCATGATGTTGGTCGTTAGAATACTGTAGGAGATTGAATATTGTCTCGTCTTGTTTTTTGTTGTGCTATATTGTTGTTATAAACATTATATATCGTAATTATTTTATCACTATTTGCGTAAGTGAATATACAGAATAAATATTTGTCGTTTACTATAAAGAAATTGAGCACATACTATGGATAACCTGCGAGGATATGTGTGAGTGTTATTTTCTCATCCATATCCTCACCCACACCCACCCTAATCTTATTTACTTATACTCGAACTCAATACTTATTTCCTTTGCCTACTGAGTAATCTTTAATAGTCACCATCATGAACGTTGTCAGCAATATCAGCCCTTGTTATAAATCTTTTAAAACAGAAAAATATAAAGAAAGAAACAATGTATTGATTGTGATGATGAATCTGATACAGTAAAATGAAAAGAGTGCAAGTAGTCGCAAATATTTGAATAATTCCACACCCTCAAGAAGAAAGCGGTTTTAGACTCTGCAATTTTTAATGTTCTTATATTTTATTTAAGATTACATACTGACAAAATTTCATTGAAATCGGTGATATCAATCGAGCACATGATTCACCTTTGAGTTATTCATATCTTGCACTGATTCATAGGTGTGTTGATGTGATGAAAAGTTATCTTTTATATGTGCATAGTGTTTAGATAAAATATTAGTTAGTGGATATTTTATTATTTGCGTTAGTTGCATTTTACATTGCAGTTAAAATAGTCAGGTGTGGGACGAAATTTTAAAAAGATTTGTGTATTGTATTCTTTTTTTTTCAGTGTAAAGTGGCAGAAAAAAATTGAATTTATACGAATGAATAAGTATTTGATCTAATATTTATTGATATATTTTAAGTTTCTAGATAAATGTCAAACTTGTCGATTGTTAGTCTACCTGTTGAGATTCTCCATCGTGTTTTTGATTTTCTTGATGTGTATACTATTATTGGTTCAGTTCGTGGCGTTTGCACGCAACTCCATGCCATTGTTAATTCCTATGATCGTTTTCAACTCAAGTTCAATTCATCTGAAAAGTCTTATTTGAAAGTCATATCTCGTCTTGTTGAACCGTCAAATATCATTTCACTGGTTTTATCCGGTGGCTATGTCTATAACTATGGCAATGGAAAAGACATCGAATTATTTCTCGTAAATTTCAACATTAGTCA